ATGTTTTATTGTCTTTCCTGCTCTGTGTCTCACATTTAGTTAACCATAAAGTGAGACCCCCCAAATAGACTGTGTTAATGTAAAGTTCATTAAATGCTATTCACTGTTATTTTTGCAATTAATTTAAAAGCTCCCCCTAAATATTTAAAAACTTTAGCAATGACATGTAACGTTGAATGCATCCTCCCACAGCAACGCAAGTGGGTAAACGCTGTAGAAAGCCACTGGGGAACGCTGTAAGAACGCTGCTAGACGAACGCAGTGGGAACGGATGTAAGAACGCTGTAAGAACGCTGTGGCGAAGCTTGCTGGGAACGCACCTGTACAGAACGCAAGTGGGAACGCTGTAAGCAAACGCTGAGTAAAGAACGCTGTGGGAAACGCTGTGGGAGACGCTGTCAGGAGCAGCGCTGTACAGAAAGCTGTGGGACGGCTGTAAAGCGCTGTCACACACAGCGCGAACGCTGTAAGAGAACGCTGTGGGAACGCTGACACGAAACGCTGTGGGAACAGCTGCTGGGACACGCTGTGGGAACGGCTGTACGAGAACGGCAGTGGGAAACGCTTGGTAAGAACGCTGTAACAGAACGCTGTCAAGAAGCTGTGCGGCGCTGTAAGCCACGCTGTAAATCAACGGCAGTGGGAACGCTGTCAGAGGAACGCTGCAAAGAAACCGCTGTAGAGAACGCTGTGGAACGCTGTAAAGAGCGCCTGTAAGAACGCTGGTGGGAACGCCTGTACAGAAGCGCTGTTAAAGCACGCAAGTGGGAACGGTACCAAATAACGCTTGTGGGAACGCTGCTGGGAGAACGCTGTACAGAACGCTGTAAGACGCCAGTAGGACCGAATGGGGAACGCTTGAAAGTGGACATGGTCAAGAACGATGTGGAACGCTGCCGGGAGACCGCTGTTACTGGGAGGAAAACGCAGTGGGAACGCTTGTACCGAACGCAGTGGGGAACGCTCGTACCAGGAAGCGCAGTGGGAACGCTGTAAAACGCAGTGGGAGAACGTAGAAGCAGTGGAACAGTAGAACCAGAAGAACAGCTGGAACCCAGTAGAAGCAGTGGAACAGTAGAAAACAGAAACAGGTGGAACAGTAGAAGCAGAACAGTGGAACAGTGGAAACGAGGTGACAGCGCACACAGAGACAGAGCAACGCTGGACGAACGTGCGGCCCAGAGCGAAAGTGGAACAGTGAACAGTAGAACCCAGCTGAACCAAGAACAGTGCGCAACAGTGGAACAGTAAGAACAGAGAAACAGTAAGAAAAGAGAACAGTAGAAGCAGTTGAACAGTAGACACAAGAGAACGTTGGAACAGTAGCAGACAGGTGAAAGCGTAGAACAGTACGACAGCTACATCAACGAGCAACCACGTCGGCAACGTGACACTCGGAACAGAGAAACAGGGACACAGAGAACAGTGGAACAGTAGAACAGTGGAAACAGTAAAGAAACAAGTGGAAACAGAGAACAGTGGAAAAGTAGAACAGAGAACAGTGGAACATGGAAGGCAGAGAACAGTAAGAACAGTGGAACAGTGGAAAACAGACGAACAGTAGAACTAGTGGCGAAACAGAGAACAGCGTCTGGAACAGTAAGAACAGAGAACAGTGGAAACAGTAGACACAGAGAACAGTAGAACAGTGGAACCAGTGGAAGAGAACAGTAGACAGGGAACAGTGAAAAAGAGAACAGTAGAACAGTGGACACAGAGAAACAGTGGAACAGTGGAACAGAGAACAATGATATAACAGTGGACAGAGAACAGTGAAACACGCCTGGGAACAGTAGGAACAAGAGAACATGTGGACACAGTAGAACAGAGAACAGTAGAACAGTAGACACAGTGAACCGTAGAACAGCGAGAACAGTGGAACAGTAAGAGACAGTTGAACAGTAGAACAGTAACAACGAGACAATAGAACAGAACAGATAGACACAAGATGGAACAGAAAAAAGTAGAACAAGTAGAACAGAGAACAGATAGAACAGTGGAGCAGTGACCAGAGAACAGATTGGAACAGTAGACAGTAGGAAACAGAGAACAAGTGAAACAAGTCCAGAAACACAGGACACAGTGGACACAGATAGAAAAAGAACAAGTAAGAACACAAGTGGCACATGAACAGAGAACAGGTAGAAACCAACAGTGGAACAGAGACAGTTGGAACAGAGGAACAGAAGACAGCTTAGGCAAACAGATGCGAACACAGAGAACAGTGGAACAGTGACGTAAACAGAGAACAAGTGGAGAAACAGTATAAAACAGAGACAGTAGAACAAGTGGACAGTCAGACCACAAGAGAAAGAATGGAAACAGTAGACAGGACGAACAATGAACAGTAGAACAGATGGAACAGAGAGAACAATAGAACAGAAACATGGAAAGTGAGACAAGAGAACAGTAAAACCAGAAGAACAGTAGGAACAACAGTGAACAGAGAACAGTAGAAGAACAGTGGAACAGAGAACATGGAACCGTGGAAGCAGAGAAAGTTGCGAACAGTGGACAACAGGTAGACAGAGAACGTGGAAAGTAGAACAGAGAACAGTAGAACAGTGGAACAGTAGAACCAGGAACAAGTGGACACAGTAGACACAGTGGAAACAGTAGAACAGAGAACAGTGGAGACAGTAGAACAGAAAAGTGGAAATGGAAATAGAACAATAAGAAGGACAGTGGACAGTAGAACATGGAACAGTGAACAGAGAACAGTGGAACAGTGGAACAGGTAGAACAGAGAACAGCTGAACAGTGGACAAGTAGAAAGCGAGAGAATTCAGTGGCACAGTGAACAGTGAGTTAACACAGTACAGAGAACAGTGGAACGAGTGGAACAGAGAACAGTGGAACAGTAGAACAGTAGAACAGTGGAACAGAAGAACAGTGGAACCAGTAAGAACGCAGAGAAGCGCAGTGACAGTGGAACAGTAGAACAGAGACGAGTAAACAGAGACAGTGGACAGAGAACAGTGGACAGGTGGACACAGTGGAACAGAGAACAGTGGAACAGTGCGGACACAGTAAGACAGAGAACCAGTAAGACCAGTGAAGCAGTGGACAGGAACAGTGAACAGTGGAACAGAGAACAGTAGAACAGAGAGACAGTGGAACAGTGGAAACAGTGGCACGTACACAACAGTGGAACAGGTTGGAACAGTGAACAAGAAGAACAGTAGAAACACGGAGAACACGGAACAGTGCGGAACAGTAAAGACAGCAGCAGAACAGTGGAACAGTAGAACAGCTGGACAGAGAACAGTGAACAGTGCAACAGTAGAACAGAGAACAGTTGAACAGTAGAACAGAAGAACAGTGGACCAGTGCGCGGAACAGTAGAACAGCAGAACAGTAAACACGCAGGAACCAGTGGAACAGTGGAACAGTTAGAAGCAGAGAACAGTGGACGGACAGCTGGAACAGTGGACAACAGAGAAGCTGGGAAACAGTGGAAACAGAGAACAGTGGAACGTGGAACAGTAGACCAGAGAAACAGTAGAACAGTGGAACAGTGGAACAGAGAACAAGTGGAACAGAGAAAACAGTAGCCAACAGAGAGGCAGTGGACACAGTGACAAGTGGAAACAGTAGAACAGTGGACAGTGGAAACCAGTAGAAACAGAGAAACAGTCAGCCAACCAGAGAACAGTGGAACAGTGAACAGTACGAACAGAGAACAGTGGGAACAGTGGACACGTAGAAAAAGTGGCAACAGGAGACAGTGGATAGCAGTAGAACAGTCGCGAACGTCAGACACACACGCACACACCGCACACCAGCGCTAGAACCAGAGAACAGTCGGAACAGTGAACAGTAGAACAGAGAACAGTAGACCAGAGAACCAGTGGAACAGTGGAACACGTGGACAACACGAGGAACAGTGGACAGGGACACACGTAAGAACAGTAGAAACCCAGAGACAGGTAGAACAGAGAACAGGAACATAAGCCAAAGTAGCCACAGCAGAACAGTGGAACAGTAGACAGTCGGAACAGAAACAGTGGACAGTTGACACAAGTAGAACAGTGGAACAGAGAACAGTGGAACAGTCGGAACAGAAGACAGTGAACAGTGGAACAGTCAGCAACAGAGAAAAGTCAGAACAGAGAAACAGTGGAAAGTAGAACAGGAACAGTAAGAACAGTGGAACAGAGAACATGAACAGTGGAACAGGGAAACAGTGAACAGAGAACAGTAGAACAGTGACAGTAGCACAGAGAAAGTAAGAACAGTGGAACAGAGAAACAGCTGGAACAACAGTTAGAACCAGAGAACAGTGAACAGTAGAACCAGAGAACAGGTAGAGAACAGTGGAACAGTGGAACCAGAAGAACAGTGGAACCAGTGGACACGAGAGAACAGTAGACAGTGGAACAGTGGAACAAGTAGAACAAGAGAACAGCTGGAACAGTAGAACGAGCAGAACAGTGGAAGCAGTGGAAAGTAGAAGCAGAGAACGAGAACAGTGGAACAGTGGAACAGTAGAACAGAGAACAGTAGAGCAACCAGAGAACAGAGAACAGTGAACAGTGGACGAGAAGAAACAGTGGAACAGCTCTGGAACCCAGCCTTAGCAACAGTGAGACAGCAGAACCAGAGAACCACGAGAAAGTGGAACAGTTTCAGACAGTACGACAGAGACAGGTGGAACAGTAGAACAGCCTGCGAAACAGAGAACAGTGGGAAAGTGAGACTTAGTATGAAAATGTAACAGAGAACGTGAACAGTGGAAAACAGGAGAACAGTGATACAGTGGAATCTGTAAAGAGTGTATATCAGTAATGTACTAGAGATACAGTTGTTATATCAAGTTAGTAACAGTAGTAATCAGTAGTTCATATGAACTAGTTAGATTACATGTTGGATATAGAGAACTATGTTAAAGTGGATTATGGAGTCGTTATGATACAGAGAAACAGTTAGAACAGTAGATCTAGATGTAACATAGTATATTACAGTGGAACAGAGTATACTAGTGTTAAACGTTATATATCTATGTATAGAAATCTATTTGGAACAGTAGTATACTAGGTATGACTTATTGTTCATACTAGTGGTATCTTTATCTAGTTTGGATACAGTTAGAACTATTTGGTATGCTTAGTGGATTACTATGTAATATTATTTAGTTATTAACTTAGTTTGGATTTATATGTCTAGATTACAGAGTTATATGTAGTAAATGTCTATTAGTTGGTTTATGTTATATACTATGAAGAACTGTTGGATTACTTTGTGAGTTACTATTAGAACAGTTGGATACTTATAGTAATATGTTGGGACTAATGTAGTACACTATGTTGGATACATTGAGGAATTTATCCTATGTATAACTATGATATCAGTTGGTATACTACTTGGACACTTATGTATGATACTAGTATGATTTTATGTATGTAATTACTATGTGGTAACATAGTGATACCAGTGAATAGCAGATATGTAATTATTGTTAGTTACTTTGTCGGTATATCTATGTAGATTATCTCCATTTGTTGATTATAGTGTGATACAGTAGTTATAACTAGAGAAACTAGTTGAACTTATGTATGATTTACTTAGATAACAGTTAGATTACTAGTGGATACAGTAGGTATACTATGTATGATACTTGTGTGATTACTAGTAGAAAGTGGATACAGTATGTTATATCTTAGATGATACTTTGTGTATACAATGTTTGTGTTAGGTATACGTTTAGAACATGTGTGATATATGCTATGTGGATACTTGTAGAACGTTATGATATCGTAGATGTATATTAGTGTATAATGCATGTCGGATATCTAGAGAAATCATGTTGGTATTACTAGTTCAGTATTACTAGTTTGATACAGAGAACAGTGGAACAGTAAGAACAGAGAACAGTAAGAAAGAGAGACAGTGGAACAGTGGAAGAAGTAGAACAGAGAACCAGTGAAAGTGCAACAGGGAAAGTAGAACAGAGAACACGTAGATACAGTGGAACAAGTAGAACGAGAACAGTGGAACAGTGGAACAGTAGAACAGAGAACAGTGGAACAAGTAGGAACAGTGAACAGTAAGAAAGTAAGAAGGGAACAGTAAGACAGAAACAGTGGAACAGTGGAGACAGAGAACAGTAAAACAGCTAGAACACGCAGAACAGTAAGAACAGTGGAACAGTGGGAAACAGTGAACAGAGAAAACAGTGGAAACAGTAGAACAGTGGAACCAGAAGAACAGTGAAACAGTAGAAACAGAGAACAGTGGACCACAGTAGAACCAGAGAACAGTAAGAAACAGTGGAGACAGAGAACAGTAAGAAACAGTGAACAGAGAACAGTCTTACAGCGTTCCCACTGCGTTCCCACAGCCAATCACAATACAGGAGAAACAGCGTGCTGTGAGCGTGACGGCAGATATGTAAATAAATAATGAATGAAGTAATAATAATAACAATAAAGTAATAAAGACCTTTATATGATTGATGTTATTATAAATTATCAGGATAATTAAATTAATCAATAAATGATAATGATCATTAATTAGACTTCTTATGCAAAACAATCGGTAGCCTTTAGGTTCATAAAAGTAAAGTTGTGAAGTGTCAGAACTGTTGTTGTTGTTGTTGTTGGAGTGCTGAATATTAATCCATGTTTCCTGACTGCAGCTCAGCCTTTCTGTCCCTCAGTGTAACTACAGGTTAAAATGCTGAATTATTGATCATGAGGAGCAGCTCGTTATCGTATGGGCTGGAAATACCTCCGTATGGTGAACTTCCTGTTCTCCTCGTGGTTCCTCTGAGTGAAGATCTTTGGACTGACTCTGACTCTGTGTTGCAGGTCGCTGTCGGGCCGGAGAGAGGAGCGCAGCGGGATGAGCGGGGCCGCTCTGGGTATCGAGATCGTGGTGGTGTTCTTCCTGGCGCTGTTCCTGCTGCACCGGTATGGAGACTTCAGGAAGCAGCAGCGCATGGTGCTGTTCGGCACGCTGCTGGCCTGGTACCTGTGCTTCCTCATCGTCTTCATTTTACCTCTGGACGTCAGCACGGTCAGTTCTAACGGAGACGTCACGAGTCTGATCCCAGAGACTGTGCAGGCGCCTGAACTCTGTGTCTTTATTCTCTGCTTACAGACCATCTACAAGCAGTGTAAGATAGACCACGAGCACGCCTCCGCTGCCACCGCCAGCCCGTCGTCCAATCACACGGCTGCAAACACATCTGTCACACCCACTAAAAGGTCAGAGTCTCTTCCTCCTGTTGGAGAGGGTTAACGCTCTGTTACATCTGCTGCTGCTCCGTCAGCTGATTCCCTGCTGACCTTTGAAGCATTTGGAAATAAAGTTTTTCTGACTGAAATGTAATAATATTTCAACTGACGAGTTTTTCTCTAACCGACTAACGAGCGTAGCAACATTGAAACCACTAGTCGACTAATCAGTGTCACACACCTCGCTATGAGCGCCTGGTCCTCACTGGGCATCCAGAGCGGTACGGCTAGGCTAACTAGCTGGCAGCGGTTACTTCACTGTCCACCAGGAAACTCTGTAAATGACAGAGAGGTGAGGCACAGCAGACACCAGAGAGAAAACCAGAAAATATTTTCCACCAAAATCAGTGAGAGTTGTTGGTGTGTGATGAACCCGACAACAGCAGGACACAGAGGGACTGTCCCCCTGTTACATGTGAGTGTGTTTGTGTGTAACGCGGCTGTCTGTCTGAATAAAGACTCACACACTATAAACGTCACTGCAACAGACAGAAAGATGAAGTGTCAGCCGCTGTCTGTTCTTATTTCTCCTTCCTCTCCACAGCAGTGTACCAACGCCATGCTACAAGCCGTGGAGCTACATCCCCGATGGCATCATGCCCGTGTTCTGGAGGGTGGTGTACTGGACGTCCCAGTGTCTCACGTGGTCCGTATGATAAACCATGAGCGCCTGTGGTTTGTAGTGTTTGTCTGGAACATTAAATCAGAGTGACGTTGTTGGTGTGTGTTTCAGGTTGCTGCTGCCCTTCATGCAGTCGTACGCTCGCTCTGGAGGCTTCTCCATTACTGGGAAGATTAAAACGGCGCTGATAGAGAACGCCATTTATTACGGGACCTACCTGCTCATCTTCGGCTCTCTGCTCATATACGTGGCTGTTCATCCTGAGTGGCACCTCTCCTGGTGAGTGCACCAGTTCCCAGTGCAGACACCCACTGGTGTCCTGAGGGGACTGCCTGTCAGAAATCACAGATGGTCTAAGAAACAGCGGTCCGTCTGTGTGACAGCGCTTTGGTTTGTCCTGTTGTGTGATTCAGGTACGAGCTCCAGACCATCGGGATCACAGCAGCTAACACCTGGGGCCTGTTCCTGCTGGTGCTGCTGCTCGGTTACGGCCTGGTGGAAATCCCCCGCTCCTACTGGAACGCTTCTCGTCACGGGCACTTACTCATCAAGACGTATTTCAAGGCGTCCAAGCTGATGACGGAGAAGGCGGATGCGGAGGAGAACCTGGAGGACGTGATGGAGGTGGGCGTCTCACAGTGGACGTAACTGTAATGTACAAAGGTTAGCTCGTTTACTTACTGTGACGTCTGGTTTGCTGCAGGAGGTGAGAAAAGTCAGTGAATCCATCAAGTATAACCATCCGCTGAGGAAGTACATCGATACAATTCTCAGGAAGGTAAGTGTACACATCTTTAACAACAGCAAACACAAGTCAGAGTTGTGATTCATAGATCAGATGTAGTGATTAACCTGCGCCCTCAGTGCCCGGTGGACTACCAGGAGAAGATGGGCAGGAACATGGATGACTATGAGGACTTTGATGACAAACAGAACACTTATCCCAGTGAGAAGAGCCTGGTGAAGCTTCATAAACAGGTGGGAGGTTCCTTCTTCACCTTGAAAGATAAGATCAGATCCAAAATGAACAATAGATTAGAGCTTTATATTTCAGGATCCCGGGTATGTGTCGGCACATCCCTAATAACAACAGATGTTTGGTAGAAAGAAAACAGTAGTAAGCTGCTTTGATTTGATGTAATGATACATACGGTGGGCGGTGAGGGTCACGCTAGCCTTCGCTGGTGATGTTGGATTGATGACTGATGTATAACTGTCTGTGTGTGTGTGTGTGTGTGTCCAGGTGATCTACGCGGTTCAGAGACACAACAGGACTCGGGTCCAGTGGCAGATCCTCCTGCAGCAGGCCATCCACCTGGAGGATGTAGCCAAGAACGAGACCAGTTCCACCCACCAGTTTGTCCACAGCTTCCCATCCTCTGAGCTCGCCGGCTGGTTCAGCAGATACGTGTACACGCCGACTGTAGGTGGGTGAGAGTGCAGGGCCTCTATCATTAGTACCTTTCCTACATATACTGCACACTGTACTGCTCAGTACTTCTACCTGTTACTGGAAACAACCAGCTGAAGAATATTTAAAGTGTTTGGAATGAATCTGAACTTGTTCTCAGTGTCAGTGATGTGATGAAGCTCTGCCTCGGTACCTCTGAGCCTTGCACTCATCTCCTCTGTATGAATGTGTGTGTTTGTGCAGAGTGGTACTGGGAGTGTCTCCTGAAGTGCTGGTTTTACCGGCTGCTGTCTGTGGTCCTGACTCTGTTCAGCGTGGCCGTGGTCTGGTCTGAGTGCACCTTCTTCAGCACCCGGCCCGTCCTGTCGCTGTTCGCCGTGTTCATCCAGCTGGCTGAGAGAGACTACAACTACCTGTATATCGAGGTGAGACACGCACACAGCACGCCTATCAGCCCATACACTGTGGAC